GATCAGCTTAAATATAAATTCCTTTAAAAGCCTACTTTGATTATCTTACCTACTAATGTAGCCCACACCACCCTCAGTTGCCTTCATATCACTCTTCTTTTCTTCATATATTTTTATCACCTCTTTACTTGTCTTGCCCATTTGTTTTCTTGTTCATTATCCACAGAGTAAGCTCTATTAGGGATGGAGTTTGGTCATTTTTGTTGAACTCTGTCTCCAGAATCTAACAGTGATGACATAGCAAATATGTATTCGATTAATGAATAATGTAAAAGAATACACACTGAGACTTCTGCTTCCAGCAATAAGAAAGTAAATGGCACAGTGCTTGCATTCTTACTGAAAACTATAAAAGTGCTCAAAATATATAAGGGAATATTTTTCATGCTTTGAGCAGCAAGCAGCATATGGATGTAATCCTAGAGAAAAGCATATCAGGTAAGCTTCAAGATCACTCCAGGGTCACCCCAACCTTCTACCTGGTGGTATTTTCTCGCTGCTGAGTAAGAAGTAGAACCAAGGATAGAAGTATTCGTGCTGAGCTAATGAGACATAGATCAGATTTCTAAGCTTCAGAAGCAGATGGACTTTTCTAGAATAGATATCAAAGAAGAAAAAACTGTACAGGGAGGAGGAGGGCCTGGATCTGCATGGGCACACATCACAAGTCCTTACCTGAAGAGTGGGCTAAAAATGCACAAAGTTAGATTCCATGAGGTCTAGAAATTGCATGCCAGAGTGAGGAGAGTTAAATGACAATACAAGAGCTTGTACAGTGCCAAGAAAACATGGAGTTTCAGCTCAAGCAGAGTGAATAGATCTCACTGACCATCACCAGCATCCAGATGAGATTCCAGGAAGGCCAGACTTTATAAGTAAGGGCCACATTCTAGAGCTAAAAGCATGCCGTAGGACTAAATTTAAAACAGAAATAGACTAACTCTAACAGGAAACAAAATCAAACAGGAAAATAACCAAAGTATCCTCCAAGACCTTAACTCTTCCCAGATAGAAAACTCAACAACTATTTTATGAAAATGGTATAATCCAGACTCTCTATAACATATAACACACGATGTCCAATATAAAATGAAAAATTCTGAGGTATTCAAAGAAAGAGGAAAACATGATCCAAAATCAAAGAAAATACTCAATAGAAATTGACTTTGAGATGACCCAAGATGTTGTAATTAACAGACGAGAACTTCAAAGCAGTTATTATATGTATTATAAATACATTTAAGGATATAAAGAAAACAAATGAACAGATAGGCAATCTGAGTAGCAAAAGGGAAGGATAAAAATACCAAGTAATAATATCTCTGGTATTTTACTTGACAAATATGTGTGTGAAATAAAAGCATTCTCAAATAAAATAAATCCAAGAGAATTTGTTGCCAGCAATTCTGCCCTACAAAAAGTGCTAAATTCTTTAGGTAGAAGAAAAATGACATCACATGGAAACTCCGATCTACAGGATAAAGGAAGGACACAAGAGATGATAAATTTATAGAAAAAAATAAAAGATTATATTTGTTCTTTTATTAATTTTTTAAAAGATATATAACTATGTAAAGTAAAAATAACATTTAATTGCATTTAAATATAAGTAAATTTAAACTATACTGTTACAGAATTCTTATATTTTCCATAATGTAACATAAAATTAAATCAAATTAGATATTATTAAATAAAGATTATATATTGCATTCCCTGGAGATATCATTAAGATAATCATGCACAAAGGTTGTACAAAAAGCCAACAAAGTTATTCCAAAAAACATTGAGCAAATATTTCATTAACTCAAAAGAAGAAAGAAAGAACACAAACACTGGTAGGAAATCTAGAAAACAAATAGCATATTGGTAGACCAAAATTTATCAATATCAATAATTACAATAAATGTAAATAGTTGACCTAAAAGACAGTGATTTAAAGAAAGAGTAAAAAGAAAAATCCAATTATGAAATGCATATAAAAGAAACATTTAAAAATAAATACATGGGGCCAGCCTGGTGGCATAGCGATTAAGTTTGTGTGCTCCACCTTGGCAGCCCGGTGTTCGCAAGTTCAGATCCCGGGTGTGGACCAATGCACCGCTTGTCAAGCCATGCTGTGGCGGCGACCCATATAAAGTAGAGAAAGATGAGCATGGATGTTAGCCCAGGGCCAATCTTCCTCAGCCAAAAGAGGAGGATTGGCAACGGAAGTTAGCTCAGGGCTAATCTTCCTCACAAAATAAATAAATAAATAAATAAATACACATTTGACAAAATCCAACACCCATTCATGATAAAAACTCTCAGTAAACTAGCAATAGAAAGGAATTTCCTAAACTTGATAAAGAATGTCTACAAAAAACCTACAGCTAACATCATACTTAATGATAAGAAGCTCAAATCTTTCTCACTAAGATCCAGAGCAAGTCAAAGATGTCTCCTCTCACCACTCCTTTCAACATCTTACTGAAAGTCCTAGCTAATGCAATAAGACAAGAAAAGGAAATAAAAGATATACAGACTGGGAAGAAAGAATTAAAACTGTCTTTGTTCACAGATGACATGTTTGTCTATGTAGAAAATCCAAGAGAATTGACAAAAAAACTTCTGGACTAATAAACAATTATAACAATGTTGCAGGTTACAAGGTCAATATAGAAAAATCAGTTGCTTTCCTATACACCAGCAATGAAAAAGTGGAATTTGAAATTAATAACACAGTATCATTTACATTAGCATCCCCTAAAAATGAAATACTTAGGTATAAATCTAACAAAATCTGATCAAGAAGTAAACTACAAAAGTCTGATGACAGAAATCACAGAACTAAATAAATGTAGAATTATTCTGTATTCATAGGTAGGAAAAATCAATATTGCCAAGATGCAAGTTCCTCAAAATTAGATCTATAGATTTAATACAATCCCAATAAAAACCCCAACAAGTTATTTTGTGGATATTGATGAACTGTTTCTAAAGTTTACATGGAAAGGCAAAAGACCCAGAATCGCCAACACAATATTGCAGGAGAACAAAGTCAAAGAACTTCAAGACTTATTATAAAGGTACAATAATCAAAACGGTGTAGTATTGGTGAAAGAATAGACAAATAGATCAATGGAACAGAACAGAGAGTCCAGAAATAGACTTACACAAATATAGTCAGCTTATCTTTGACAAACTATCAAAGGTGATTCAATAGAGAAATGATAGTCTTTTCAACAAATGGTGCTGTAAGAATGACATCCAAATTCCAAAAAAAATGAATCTAGAGAGAGACCTTATATCTTTCACAAAAATTAATTAAGATGGGGTCACAGACCTAAGTGTAAAACACAGAAATGTAAAACTTCTAGAAAGTAGCATAGGAGAAAATCTAGATGACTTTGGGTTTGGTGATGACTTTCTAGATACAACGCCAAGGACATGATCCATGAAAGAAATAATTGATAAGCTGGACTACATTAAACATTTCTGATCTGTGAAGGACACCATGAAGACAATGAACAGATGTTCCACAGACTGCGAGAAAATTTTGCGAAAAACATATCTCATAAAATATAATCTAGCAATATAAAAAAGTATGATTAGATGGGGTTATCCAAGAAATGTAAGGTTGGCTTAATATTTTAACATCAATCGACATGATTTATCATAATAATAAAAATTTTAAAATATGCATATTAAAAAGGTAAGGGGGTGTTTTGAAGATGGTGGCATAGAAGGATCCTGAACTGCCCTCCTCCCACAGACACAACAAAACTACAACTACCTGTGGAACAATTTCCTCTGAGAGAGATCTGGAAGCTGGATAAAAAGAACCTCCACAACAAAGGGCAACACAGGAGTGAAAGAAGCAGAGAAACAGCCCCACTGAGGAAAACACCACACCCTAGCTGCAGCACTTCACCACCAGGTGCAACCTCAAAGATATGGAGCTTTTCCTGGAGGAGCCAGGGTTTTGAGCTCCACATTAGCACCCCTGCCCCTAGATCCAGCACAAGAGAGATGAGATCCCATAAAACCTGGCTTTGAAAACCAACGGGGAATACCCCGGAAAACTACAGAACTTCAGGGAAAGAAAAATCTGCTCTTAATGGGCCCATGCACAGACTCACTTGACCTAGACAACAGCACAAAAACACCAGATAGAAAAGTGCAGAGTCTGTGGGTAAAAGAGACTCACTTAGGAAGCTCAGAATGCATCCCAGGGAGGCAGGAGGTGGCTGGGCCCCCCTGCTGCCAAGACTTAGACACTGGAGGCAGCCATTACTGTGATCTAGTTCAGTCATGCTGACTCAGATGCTGGCAGGCACCATTGGAATCTTTCCTCTAACCTGTTAGCACAGGGGTCTTCCCTGCCCACTAGAGCACCTGAGGCATTTGAGCACAGCCAGGAAGCAGGCAGCCTGCACCAGGGGCCAACACAACCCACCAGTAAGCCCATGGTGGCCCTGTGAACCCATGATGACCTCGTGGGCCTACGGCAGATGCGCTGCTGGCCATCACAAACAGCCACATGGGGGATCTGCCCACTTTTCAACACATGAAACAATTGGGGGCTTCCACACCCGAGGCCTGCCCCACCTGTCAACCAGTTCTGGCAGAGGCCTGCCCTGTCTATAAGCTAGCTGACAACAGCCATATGTGCTGTGCAGCAAGCCTGACCTGAAGCCTGCCGCACCCCCTCAACCACCAAAATAGAGACAGCTGAGGAGAGGTGTCAAGGTGGGGGCATAGGCAGACTCTGAACTCACCTCCTCCCATGGACACAACAAATTTACAACTACTTTTGGAACAATTACCCCTGAGAGAGTATTGAAAACTGGATAAAAAGAACCCCCACAAGAAAGGACAGTCCTGACTGAGGTGGAAGAGCCAGAAATTCCCTTCTGGAGAGAAAAAAGCCACATTTGCAAACTGTGTCACTTCATGGCCTGCGGGAGCAATCCTAAGGTACGCAGCCTTCCCTGGAGGAGTGGGGGACCTGAACGTGGGAGCATTACCACTATAAGCCTCTTTTAGACTCAGCACAATGGAGACGAGTGTCATAATATCTGGCTTTGCTGGCTATTAACAACAAAGGGAAATACCCCCAGAAAAGCTGTTGGATATAAGGGGAAAAAAGCTGGCTCTTAAAGGCCCACACACAAATTCACCCATTTCAGAAAGCAACTTAAAACCACCAGAAAGAAAGGTGCACAGTCCTTTGGTGAAAAGAGACCCACTTGATAGGCTCTGGGTGCATCTCAGTGAGAGGTAATACCTCTCCAGGGGCTGAGACATTGGCAGCAGCTATTATCGTGACCTAGTACAGGCATGCTGACACAGACGCTGGCAGATGCCACTGGAGTTCTCCCCTTGGCCTGTTAGCCCAGGGTCTGCCCCACCCACTAGAGTACCAATTTAATCCAACTCAGCCAGGTGAGGCAGCTGGCCCTAGGGACTGGACTCTCCCAACAGCAAGCCCTCAGGCAGCTGTGGGCCTGCGTAGGCTGGGTGCCTGGATCCTCTGCAGACAGACGAGTGGGTCCACCTCTGCAGGGCAGGGCATGCTTGAGGAGTGGGTGGAGTGTGTGGAACCTCTGCCATGGGGTGACTGGGTCCACTTCAGGGGGTCAGGGTGTGCACACGGGGCAGGACTGTGTTGATAGTATGTGTGGCACTGTGGGCGGTGGGGCTTGTCAGCTGCAGAAGACTTTTGCTTCTCAAACAGCCTTTTATGGGATCGGCCCCACTTTCCAAAGCCTGAAACTATTGGGTGCTCCCATGCCTGGGGCCAACCCCGCTCAGCTGCAATCCTGAGAGACCTGACAAGAGCCTTGCAGGCCGTGTCCTACAGCAATTGTAGGCCCCTGAGCCTAGCAACCAGCCACGCTGGGGGCCTACTCAGTTAACGGAAAAACTGCAACAGGAAGGTGCTATTAGACCTTGCATCCGACTGTGTTCGGGCTCCCCACACCCAATAAAGTCACTGAAGGGACCATAGCAGCCACACACAGCTGAGCATTACAACGAGGGGGAAAGCCTAGCCTCCCTGGGCACCTGCAGCAAAAGCAACCCTGCCACAACAGAAGGACACACGTAGCCCCCACAGGGGTCAATCCCGGAACATTTGGAACTAGTGACAAGAGGGAAGCACACTGCTGGGCCTTTTAAGGCATCTCTTACATAAGGCCACCTCTGCAAGACCAAGCGATGTAGCTGACCCACCTAATACACAGATATAAGCACCGAGAAAGAGGCAAAATGAGGCGGCAAAGGAATACATTCCAAGTAAGGGAACAGGACAAAACTCCAGAAAAGGAACAAAAGGAAACAGAAATAAACAATCTACCTGAGAAAGAGTTCAAACAAAAAGTCATAAGGATGCTCGCTGATCTTGGGAGAAGAATGGATGAACTCAAAACAGAGAACGTCAACAAAGAATTGGAAAATATGAAAAAGAACCAATCAGAAATGAAGAATACAATACTGGAAATGAAAGATTCACTAGAGGGACTCAGTAGCAGAGCAGATGATACAGAAGAATGGAGCAGCAAGCTGGATGAAAGAGTAGAGGAAATCACCCACGCTGAACAGCTAAAAGAAAAAAGAATTAAAAAGAATGAGAACAGTCTAAGGGACCTCTGGGACAACATCAAGTGCACTAACATTTGTAATACAAGTGTCCCAGAAGGAGAAGAGAGAGATAAAGGGGCAGAGAGTCTGTTTGAAGAAATAATAGCTGAAAACTTTCCTAACCTAAGGAAGGAAACAGACATCCAGGTACAGGAAGCACAGAGAGCACCAAACAAGCTAAACCCAAAGAGGCCCACACCAAGACACATTATAATTAAAATGTCAAGAATTAAAGATACAGAGAGAATCGTAAAAGCCACAAGAGAAAGGCAGCAAGTTACATGCAAAGGTAATCCCATAAGGCTATCAGCTGACTACTCAACAGAAACCTTATGGCTAGAAAGGAGTGGCATGATATATTTAGAGCACTGAGGGGCTGGCCCCATGGCATAGTGGTTAAGTTCACATGCTCCACTTCGGTGGCCTGGGTTTCATGGGTTCAGATCCTAGGAGCAGACCTACAGACCACACATCAAGCCATGCTGTGGCTGTATCCCATATACTAAATAGGGGAAGATGGGCACAGATGTTAGCTCAGGGCAAATGTTCCTCACCAAAAAAAATAATAATGATAAAGTGCTGAAAGTAAAACAACTACAGCCAAAAAAACTCTACTCACAAGGTTATCATTCAGAATGGAAAGAGAGATAATGAGCTCTCCAAACAAGCAAAAACTAAAGGAGTTCATCACCACTAAACCAACCAACTTTACAGTAAATGTTAAAGGGACACAACGTTAAGTTTGGTGCACTCTGCTTCGGCAGCCCAGGTTCATGGGTTCAGATCTCAGGTGCAGACCTACACCACTTGTCAGCCACACTGTGGTGGGAACCCACATATTAAATAGAGGAAGATTGGCACAGATGTTAGCTCAGGGCTAATCTTCCTTAGCACAAAAAAAAAAAGAAGAAATAGAGAATGTGAATAGTTTGATCACTAGTAAGGAGATCGAAACAGTAATCAAAAACCTCCTCAAAAACAAAAGTCCAGGACCAGACAGCTTCCCAGTGAATTTTACCAAACATTCAAAGAAGACTTAATAACTATCCTTCGCAAACTCTTCCCAAAAGGGGAAGCTTCCTAACTCATTTTATGAGGTCAACATTACCCTGATATAAAAACCAGACAAAGACGACAGAAAAAAAGAAAATTACAGGCCAACATCACTGATGAACGTCAATGCAAAAATACTCAACAAAATACTAGCAAATCGAATATAACAATACATTAAAAAGATCATACACCATGATCAAGTGGGATTTATTTCAAGGATGCAAGGATGATTCAACATCTACAAATCAATCATTGTGATACACCACATTAACAAAATGAAGAATAAAAATCACATGATCATCTCAGTGGCTGCAGAGGAAGCATCTGACAAGATACAGCATCCATTTATAATAAAAACTGAACAAAATGGGTATAGAAGGAAAGTACCTCAACCTAATAAAGGCCATATATGACAAACCCACAGCCAACATCATTCCCAATGGTGAAAAACTGAATGCTATCCCTCTAAGAACAGGAACAAAATAAGGACTCCCACTTTTGCCACTTTTATTTAACATAGTATTGGCAGTCTTAGCTGGAGCAAGCAGGCAAGAAAAACAATAAAAGTGATCCAAATTGGAAAGGAAGAATTAAAACTGTCACTATTTTCAGATGACATGATTTTGTATATGGAAAACCCTAAAGAATCCATCAAAAAACTGTTAGAAATAATAAACAAATATAGTAAAGTTGCAAGGTACAAAATCAACATACAAAAATCTATTGGGTTTCTATACACTAGCAACAAAATAGGAGAAAAAGAAATCAAGAAGACAATCCCATTTACAATTGCAACAAAAAGAATAAAATATCTAGTAATAAATTTAACCAAAGAGGTAAAAGACCTGTAAACTGAAAACTATAGAACACTATTGAAAGAAGTGGAAGTCAAGGGCAAAAAGAAAAAAAACTTGACTGAGGAATTATCCCAGTTAAAGAAGACTAAAAATGATAGGGTACTTCAACGCAATGCCTAATCTTGGGCAGGATCCTCAACCAGGAATAAAATAGCTGTAAAGGACACTGGACAATTGGTGAAATTTGAACAAGGACTGTAAATTAAATGTCCTGATTTTTATCGTTGTAATTTGTTTATGTAAGTGTATGTCCTTGCCCTGAGGAAGTACGCACTAAAGAATTTCATCACAAAAGAGGCACAATATCTTCAACTTACTCCAAAATGGTTTAGGAAAAGTAAACATCGATCTCTATAACATATCATCTCTTTATACGTGATATCTATCTCTACAGAGCAAATGATAAATAGGTCACTATATACTATTCTTGAAATTTTCCATGTTTGAAATTATATAAATAAAAGGTGCAAAAAAGAATGCAAAGAATTGACAGATCAAAAAAAGGGAAAATGCATAAAAAATTATATCTTCCCTATTGTGACAATTTCTCAAATTTGCATAGGTGAGGAAGTTGCAAATTATTCAAAGTAACAGTGATATTGGATGGAGAGTACTGGTTAGAGACAGAAGAAAACAAAGTTTACTCTCAGCGATTTATTACTAGGAGACAAAGTTTTAAAAATCCTTATGTAGAAGAGGTGGCTAAATGTGAAAGATCAAAGATTTCTCCTTTAGAAATGTCAACCAACCTAATGCACAAAACTTTCTTCATAGTAAAATGGATTTTAAATGTCCTAACGTTATATGTTTTCAGAAAGAGCATATGTTTTCATAAATAGCCCATAGAACTGCTATATGGCTGCTAGAGATATGAAAGAATTTACTTCTTACTGTATTTGATAAAAAGACTTGAAAGAGCAATTTGAAAAAAAATTTGTCGTTTTGTTTCAATTTTTCAATCCAAGAGAACCCTTTATTTTCACCCCATGGCTATAAATGTCTTTGCAGGCTTGCAAGAAAATGAGTCAAGAATTCACACTAACACAGTTAGAATGCAACCTTTTGACTTATATATTTTCCCCTATTATATGAAATTCCTGTCATAAGTCATTTACTTGAATTCTGCCCTGAGTGATAGGATGCCCTTGGCAGCCCAAAGACCGAGAGATGATAGGCCATAAAACAGCAACTCTGAGAAGGACGGCATTGGGTAAATACTGCTGCTACGAGTTCACACCTTAGGGTTGAGCCAAATGTGGAGAAAAGCCAGTCTACAGCTCAGTCCATACTGGCTATATCCAACAAAATGGGAAAAAATGTTCCATAACCATCAAACTAGCAGTAAGAACAATGTAAGCAAAGACACATTCTAGTTTTTTTTAATTTGTAAGACATACAGTCAGAAAAAGGGAAACAATGGGGAAATAACATCTCATGAGCATTATGGCATAGATATCTCACTTATTTCTCATAACAATCCAGGGAAATACAAATTATAATACTCTGTCTTCCTTTATAATTTAATGATTTAATGAGGTTAAATATATCACT